CTCACGAAACAGTATCCTTGTCTCCCCAAGCGTCTGCAGCTAGGTTTTTTTGGATGAGTTATTTAGCACATGTCTTCAGGTGACCTTTTGTGGTTTGGATCAGTGGTTTAGGGAGTTCCTGGTTTGTGCAGAGGGCTCATGCAAGCTTAGGGAAGGCATCCATGAAGCCAAGGGCTTGAGAAATTCTTTGTTGCAGTTCCGTCAGGTCTCGCTTTCTGGTGGCATCCTTGTCTGCTGAAGCCGGTCATCGTAGGCGCCCCTTCACACCCTGGGCTGGAACAAGAGGGTCCGCCTGACCATTGCTTTGAACGGTTTCTTATAAGCCTCACATTTCGTGGCATGTGGAGGGAAACAAGGGGAAAGCAGTTCGCTTGAGCAGAATCAAATCAAGACGATGACGCCTGCCAAACACGAGATATTTGGGCTCTGGCTCCACTTGAATTGTCCAGCCATGTTTGACTCCGTCTTGGATCTCCCTTAAGGCAGCCAATTTGGGATGAGTTATTTTGTACAAGTCTTCAGGTGAACTTTTGCGGCTTGGATCAGTGGACAAGTGGTTTAGGGAATTCCTGGTTCGTGCATGAATGGCTGACAAAAGAATCCGCTGGTGCGTCCCCAATGTGTCTGTTAAGGCGTCTTGATTTGCGGCGTTTGCTTCGGTCAGTCGCAGCGCTCTTGTCGCGGTTTTGTCAGGTCTCGCCCTTCCGGCGGCATCTTTGCCCGCTGAAGCCGTCCATCATAGGCGCTGCTGCGCCCTCCTGTGCTGACCATTGCTTGTAGGTCGACATCACCGTTTTGTTGCAAATGGGGTGAAGCGAAGGGAATTCAACTTACTTCAAAAAGGCACAGAGCACAGCTATTTGTGGCACTTGCGCGGCACAACATTTGTGAGATTTGTGGGCTTTGGCTCCATTTGAGTCGTGGTTACGCTGAGTGCCCTTGCTTGTGGTGAGAAGCGTGAAGGCTTGACTCGTGACATGGGTTGGTGGCTGGTTTGTTCGCGCTTCGCGTGCCCGGTGTGGCGCGCATGAACTCAGCGCTTGCGATCCGAACAGTGCGCGTAGTTTCCTGCATGCTTTGGTGCTTGCAGAATGCTGTGGTTTACAGTCCACTACTATGCTCATGGGCGGAACACTAAGCAAAACCGTAAGCCAAAGCCTTTGAGCAGAACTTTTGCGTTTTGACTTGAAAAGGGTTTTTGACGGATTTACACAATGTGGCCTGAAAGGACTTGGCTTTGTGGGAGCCACCTTCCTCACTTGGACACAATCCAATCAAGACGATGGCGCCTGCCAAACACAAGCTATGTGGGCTTTGGCTCCATTTGAATTTTCCAGCCATGCTTGATCCCATTTTCGATCTCACTCACGAAACAATATCCCTGTGCCCCTGTCTCCCTAAGTCGGCTGCAGCTAGGTCATTTTGGGATGAGTTATTTTGCACAAGTTTTGAGGTGACCTTTTGTGGTTTGGATCGTGGTTTAAGGAGTTCCTGGTTTGTGCAGGCTCATGTAATCTCGGGGAAGGCATCCGTGAAGCCAAGGGTGTGAGAAATTCTTTGCCGCCTTCAGGTGGCATCCGTGTCGGCTGAAGCCGTCCATCATAGGCGCCGCTTTCCACTCTGGGCTGAAGCAAGAGGGTCTGCTGACCACTGCTTTGAACAGCTTCTTATAGGCCTCTTTTTTTGTGGCACGTGGAGGAAAATAAGGCGAAGCAGTCTACTTGTCTATAAGCACCGTTTCGATTTCACTCACAAAACAATATACCTGGGGACGAGTTCTGGCTCCATTTGAAATTTCCAGCCATGCTTGACCCCGTTTGCAATCTCCCTCACGAAGCAGTATCCTTGTCTCCCCAAGCGTCTGCAGCTAGGTTTTTTTGGATGAGTTATTTAGCACATGTCTTCAGGTGACCTTTTGTGGTTTGGATCAGTGGTTTAGGGAGTTCCTGGTTTGTGCAGAGGGCTCATGCAAGCTTAGGGAAGGCATCCATGAAGCCAAGGGCTTGAGAAATTCTTTGTTGCAGTTCCGTCAGGTCTCGCTTTCTGGTGGCATCCTTGTCTGCTGAAGCCGGTCATCGTAGGCGCCCCTTCACACCCTGGGCTGGAACAAGAGGGTCCGCCTGACCATTGCTTTGAACGGTTTCTTATAAGCCTCACATTTCGTGGCATGTGGAGGGAAACAAGGGGAAAGCAGTTCGCTTGAGCAGAATCAAATCAAGACGATGACGCCTGCCAAACACGAGATATTTGGGCTCTGGCTCCACTTGAATTGTCCAGCCATGTTTGACTCCGTCTTGGATCTCCCTTAAGGCAGCCAATTTGGGATGAGTTATTTTGTACAAGTCTTCAGGTGAACTTTTGCGGCTTGGATCAGTGGACAAGTGGTTTAGGGAATTCCTGGTTCGTGCATGAATGGCTGACAAAAGAATCCGCTGGTGCGTCCCCAATGTGTCTGTTAAGGCGTCTTGATTTGCGGCGTTTGCTTCGGTCAGTCGCAGCGCTCTTGTCGCGGTTTTGTCAGGTCTCGCCCTTCCGGCGGCATCTTTGCCCGCTGAAGCCGTCCACCATAGGCGCTGCTGCGCCCTCCTGTGCTGACCATTGCTTGTAGGTCGACATCACCGTTTTGTTGCAAATGGGGTGAAACGAAGGGAGTTCAACTTACTTCAATAAGGCACAGAGCACAGCCTTTTGTGGCACTTGCCCGGCACAAGATTTGTGAGATTTGTGGGCTTTGGCTCCGTTTGAGTCGTGGTTACGTGCTGAGTGGCCTTGCTTGTGGTGAGAAGCGTGAAGGCTTGACTCGTGACATGGGTTGGTGGCTGGGATTGTTCGCGCTTTGCGTGCCCGGTGTGGCGCGCATGAACTCAGCGCTTGCGATCCGAACAGCGCGCACAGTTTCCTGCATGCTTTGGTGCTTGCAGAATGCTGTGGTTTACAGTCCACTACTATGCTCATGGGCGGAACACTAAGCAAAACCGTAAGCCAAAGCCTTTGAGCAGAACTTTTGCGTTTTGACTTGAAAAGGGTTTTTGACGGGTTTACACAATGTGGCCTGAAAGGACTTGGCTTTGTGGGAGCCACCTTCCTCACTTGGACACAATCCAATCAAGACGATGGCGCCTGCCAAACACAAGCTATGTGGGCTTTGGCTCCACTTGAAATCTCCAGCCGTGCTTGACCCCGTTTTCGATCTCCCTCACGAAGCAATATCCCTGTCTGCCCAAGTCGTCTGCAGCTAGATCCGGATGAGTTATTTAGCACATGTCTTCAGGTGACCGTTGGTGGTTTGGATCAGTGGTTTAGGGAGTTCCTGGTTTGTGCAGAGGGCTCATGCAAGCTTAGGGAAGGCATCCATGAAGCCAAGGGTTTGAGAAATTCTTTGTTGCAGTTCCGTCAGGTCTCGCTTGCTGGTCTTGTTTGCTGAAGCCGGCCATCGTAGGCGCCGCTTCACACCCTGGGCTGGAACAAGAGGGTCCCCTGAGCATTGCTTTGAACGGTTTCTTATAAGCCTCCCATTGCGCGGCATGTGGAGGGAAATACGGGGAAAGCAGTTTGGGGCTCTGGCTCCATTTGAATTTTCCAGCCATGCTTGATCCCATTTTCGATCTCACTCACGAAACAATATCCCTGTGCCCATGTCTCCCTAAGTCGGCTGCAGCTAGGTCATTTTGGGATGAGTTATTTTGTGCAAGTCTTCAGGTGACCTTTTGTGGTTTGGATTCGTGGTTTAAGGAGGTCAGTGTTTGCATTCTTTTGGGGAAGGGGGCGGTTTTATCCACGGGAAGACCGCTGAAAGCGTGGGGAAGGCATCCATGAAGCCAAGCGTTTGGCTGAGAAGATCCCGCTGGCATCGCTCCCAAATGCCTGCGTGTTACGGCAGCTTGAGCTGTGATGCGGTGTTATTTGCAGCGCCCTTGTCGCGTCAGGTCTTGCCCATTCGGTGGCATCTTGCCCGCTGAAGCCGTCCATCATAGGCGCCGCTTCGCACTCATGGGCTGACGCAAGAGGGTCCCCCTGGCCACCGCTTTGAACGGTTTTGTTATAAGTCTGCCATGTGGAGGGAAACAAGGGGAAAGCAGTTTGCTTGAACATTATCAAATCAAGACGATGGCGCCAGCCAAAAAACAGGATATATTATGGGCTAAAGAAATTTTCTTGCACGAGCCATGGGGGAGAGGAAGCAATGGGAAAGCTTTACTTAGAGTTTTAGATTGCACCTACCAAAAACAAGATTTATTGGCTCTGGTTCTAGTTGAGTTTTCTCGTATGCGTCACGTTTGAGTCCCTGTTCCCCTCAGTGGCTTGCAGCCAGGGCTATCGAGTTAGGCTTTTCAAGCACCATCTGGTTTCAAGCATCACTTGGACTTGCTGCGGGGCGATTTACGCCGGAATTGTGCCGAAGTTATGGACCCGTTTTGTGCGCATGCCAGTAGCGCTGCATGGTTCGCAATCTGCGTTGACTCACAGGATGTATCCGAATGGGGCATGCTGCTTGCCTACGCGTGCTGCGTGCTTCTTTCGGAAGACTTTGGGCATTTACTGCGCCGCTCTAAGAATAATATTTATCAAGTGGAAGCGGCTCGCGCGTTGCAGGCTGGCGGCTTTAGAGGGGCAAGACACTGCATGCTTGTCTGAGCAAGTGTTGCGTTAGCACTTGCGGGAAATCCAGGGCAGAGAAGGTGTGAATTGTCTATGCTGCTGACTGCTCCCTGAAGAGGACGTGTGCCAGCGACCTCTGCGGCAAAGTAGAAGAGCTTACCTTTGCAACCCTCTGGCTTGCCTTGTAACAGATGCAGTTTCTGATTCATCGAATCTGGAGGCAGTTTTCGTTCAGCCAGCGTGTGGGTTCAAGCGCCGCGAACACAGGCAACGAATCAAGCCGTGAACACGAGCAGCAGGGAGGATGCTTTGTAGCACACAAAGCGCGGCAGGCGGCTTTTTTCATGCAACATTTGCGTCAAGATAATCACAGTAAGTGAAGCCAAGTTTCGACGCCGGGCATGGAGTTCTTTCGCCTGGCAGAGCTGAACGAGTCCACGGCCAAGCTTGGCACCTGGCTCTTCCGGGTGGAGCATGTGATCTCCGAGGAGTACGAGTACGAGTGGAAGGGCAAGCAGCATCGCACATGGAAGCTGACGATGGTGTTGCTGACCCAGGAAGCTTCGGAGTACTGCCTGGGCCAGGTGAAAGTGGCGAAGAGCAACTTGCAGCAAGTCCAGACGGCCGAGCGCCGCTACACCGTCGGCACGCTTTGGCAGGTGAGCAAGGTCGCGCTGGCCAAAGAAAGCAAGCAGTATGTGCACACTCCACGTAAGCTCGTGATCGACATGGCGAAGAGCAAGGTGGTCTCGGTCTCCGACGCGCAAGGGCTGGTCATGCCGCCAACTGTGGTGGCGAACGCGGTGCTGCGAGACATTCTCCAGCTGCAGGACAAGCAGCGCTTCGATGTCACCTGCGTGGTGAAGGGGGTCAGCGATCCTCGCACGGTGACAACGCCTTCGGGGGAGAAGAGGGTCCTGGACGCGACCTTGACTGATGGCACGGCGGAGATGACGTTGTCTCTTTGGTTTGAGATGGGCGAGGCAGGGGAGGCAGGGCTTGCTAGCCTGCGTGAGAACGTCGCGGAGAGCAGCCCTTTGACTTTCTGTGGCCTTGAAGCGGAGCCGAGCAGGGCAGACGACAGCAAGGCGCTCATCAAGACTACGCGGCACACTTTTTTCATCAAGGCGACGGGTGAGAAGGCTGAGGAGTTAAAGAGAGATGCCGACGACATCAAAGCTCGCCAGCTCGACTTGGTGTCCCAAGCATGGGTTGCGCATAGCCCGGTGGACTACCTGAATACGCCAGTGCAGCAGACCACTTGCTTCTTGCTGGAAAAGTTCCGGACAGTGATTGAGCAGGACACTGTGCTCCAGCTGAACTTCGTGCAAGTTCTGCCCCCCACGCCGGGCTCGAGTGTTAAGACCAAGGATGGCAGCAGGCTTTGGTTCTCGACGGCAATGTCTGACGCGTCCGGCACGGTGGACATCGTGGTTCGCGAGAAAGCGGCCCTGGCATTGTCTGGCTGCGCCAATGCAGAGGAGTTTGAAAGCGCCTTTCAGGACCTCTGGGCTTGTGCTGTTGAAAGCGCGTGGAGGGCTCTCGCTCCACAGCCATGGACAGCAGCCATCAAGTAGAAGGTTCCAAGTTTCGCGCCCCTCCCATCCACAGTGCCACACACTTGCGCCCAGAAGCCCAGAAGCTAATCATGTCAAGAAGAATTTGGGGCGCATGCACGTGGGGTGCAACATCAACAGTGTCAGCTGGAACGTAAACATATCATGTTTCGACCGTCCACTGATATGGTTTTCTCTTGGTTGTTTTGTATACAGGGGCGCAGGATGTTGCCATTTTAGATGAGGATGAAGAAAAATTAGAGCTTGGCCATCGTGTTTTGTGTTTTGCGTGGAGCGCGGCAAGTGTGCAGCTTGTGGTCGCGCAACATGTCAGGACGGATCTTTGGGCTTCCCAGTGCTTGCCTCGGTGAGGGTGTTGATGGCTCCAGTCAGCCCGCTGCTAGAGTCGCAAGAAGGGTCGCAGCCAGAGGCTTCGTCGCCTGTGAAGCAAAGCGGAGGTGCCCAGACTACAAGGTGCATGGTGGTGGAAGCGGTCGAGCAGGACTGGAGCGAGCCACTGCCGCCGGGTGCTGCCGAAGAACTTGTTGACCGCATCAAGCTGTTCAGTCCCTCATGCAGCGGCTTGGTTGCCACAGCCCTGAGTGAGATCCAAGTCAGCCAGCACTACGCCGTGGCAATTTCCTCAGACACCGGAGTCCGCTATGCAGATCGTGCTATGGTGCTGGTTGCCTCAAAGGCCCGGGCGTGAGCACACCAGTGCTTCCAGAGAAGAGTGATGCTTTCCTTGTCTTACTTGTTGACTCTTGTGTCACACAGACTTTGTATTAGGAGATACAGGCATGTGCTCCAAAAATGTCAGTTGCGCCCCAAGCAGCTTCACAGCATGAATGGCCGCGCTGCCAGGCAAAATCAAAGACCACGGCCTTGTCCGACAACACGTTCCGGGTGGTGACGGCAGACGTTGTGGACTTGCTGCAGCAGGAGCAGTCTGAGACGAAAGTGGAGCTGATTGCCTTGTGCACCAAGGAGACGCTGACAGAATTCAAGCTGGACCCACCGAAAGGCGGCAGCAGGCAGCAGGCGGCGATTTGTGTCATCAGCGCGGTGACTTCTGGATCACCAACGAAGATGTACTTGCAGGCGGTCAGCCTCGTGAACGACGCGGATGTGCCGCAGTTGAAGCGGGCCATGCTTCAGCTCAAGGACCTGGCCGCTAAGATGAACGGCAAGCGGGGGGCTGGCCGCGATGTGGGTGTGAGTGATTTGCCGGCAAAGAGATGCCGCACGCTTAGCCGGTATCCAACAGAGATACCCCCTGACCCGTGATTTGCGGATGCCAGTTTTGGAAACCCGGGGCTGCCTTGTGAATATGCCAGTTCCGGAAACATTGAGAGCTGCTGAGAACTTCCACGGAGCTTGCTCCCAACATCAAAGCCCGTGCCATCGTGATTGAAAAAGAACTAGTCAGACTGCCTGGTGGTCCATCGTTTACTTATAAACCTCGACACAGGTCCTTCTGGGATGAGATATTTTGCACAAGTCTTCTGTGACCTTTAGTGGTTTAGATCAATAGCATGCGGGAAGCCACGCCCCCGTAACCTCCAAACCACAGATCTCCAAACAGAGCTCACCTTTCACATTGTTTTGGGGGAAGGGGGGTAGCTCTTCTGAGACAACTACTCAAAGGGTGCCGAGATTTTATCCACGGGAAGACCGCTGAAAGTGTGAGGAAGGTTGAGCTGCGATCCGGTGTTTGCTTTGCTCACTGGCCGCGCCTTTGTCGCAGTCCTGTCAGGTGCCTGCCTTCCGGCGTACCTGCTGAAGTTGTCCATCTTAGGCGCCGCTTCGCACTCATGGGCAGACGCAAGAGTGTCCCTCAGCTTTGGACAGTTTGCTTGTACAACAGCCTCACTGTTTTGTGGCAGATGGGGTGAAACAAGGGGGAGTCAGTTTACTTCAAAAATCACCGAACACAACTACTTATGGCAGTTACCCAGCACAAAACTTGTAAGATTTGCGGGCTTTGGTTCCATTTGAGTCATGGTCGCGTGTTGGAGTGCCCTCGTATGTGGTGAGAAGCGTGAAAATTTGACTCATGCGAAGACCAACACGCAGCTGCAACAGGGGAACGAACGCCATGGCTTGAAATGGCTTGCTGTGAGAGCGTGACATGGGCTGGTGGCTGGGACTGCTTGCGTTTTGCGTGCCCGGCGTCGCAAGCATGAACTCAGCGCTTGCGATCCGAACAGCGCATGTAGTTCCCTGCGTGCTTTTGCGCTTTCAGAATGCTGTGGTTTACACTCCACTACTTTTCTTATGGGCGGAACACTAAGCAAAACCGTAAACCAAAGGCTGTGAGGCAACTACTGACAGGGTGCAGAGATTTTATCCACTGGAAGACCGCTGAAGCGTGGGGAAAGTCGAGCTGCGATCCGGTGTTTGCTTTGGTCACTTGCAGAGCCTTTGTCGCATTTCCGTCAGGTCTCGCCTTTTGGTGGCATCAGTCTGGGCTGAAACAAAGAGGGTTCCCCCGACCACTGCTTTGAACGGTTTCTTATAAGCCTCCCGCTCTTCCATTTCGTGGCATGTGGAGGGAAACACGGGGAAAGCCGTTTACTTGAACATTATCAAATCATCAAATCAAGACGATGCCGCCTGCCAAAAACAAGATATATAGGCTCTGGCCCCAAGTGAATTTTCATTTTCTTGTACGAGCCATGTCCTCACCCCGTTCTCGATTTCACTCACGAAACAATACCCCTGTCCCCCTAAGTCAGCTGCAGCCAGTCCTTTTGGGATATGTTATTTTGCACAAGCCTTCAGGTGACCGTTCAGTGGTTTAGGGAGTTCCGGGTTTGTGCAGAGGGCTCATGCAAGCTTGGGGACGGCATCCATGAAGCCGCAGTTCCGTCAGGTCTCGCCTTTTGGTGGCATGCTTGTCTGCTGAAGCCGTCCATCATGGAGGCCGCTTCACACCCTGGGCATGTGGGGGGAAATACGGAGACAGCAGCTTGCTTGAGCATGATCAAATCAAGACGATGGCGCCTGCCAAACACAAGATATTTAGGCGTTGGCTCGATTTGCATTTTCCAGCCATGCTTGACCCTGTTTTAGATCTCATTCAGGAAACAGTATCCCTGTCCCTTCAAGTCAGCTGCAAAGGCCCTTTTTGGGATGAGTTATTTTGTACCAGTCTTCAGGTGACCTTTAGTGGTTTAGATCAGTGGTTTAGGGAGTTCCTGGTTCGTGCAGTGCGCTCATTCATGAAGCCAAGGATCTGATAAATGTCCGCTGCCTTTGTCCCGCTTGACTCTCTGGGCTGAAACAAAATTATACGCCTCCCACTTCGTGGCATGTGGAGGGAAACAAGGGGAAAGCAGTTTGCTTGAACATTCGCAAATCAAGACGATGGAGCCCAAGACATTTGGGCTCTGGCTCCATTCGAATTTTCCAACGATGCTTGACCCGTTTTAGATCTCACTCGTACCAGTCTTCAGGCAACCGTTGAGTGGTTTAGGGAGTTCCGGGTTTGTGCAGAGGGCTCATGCAAGCTTGGGGAAGGCGTCCATGAAGCCAAGCGTCTGAGAAATTCTTTGTCGCAGTATGTCGCAGTTCCGTCAGGTCTCGCCATCTGGTGGCATCTTTGTCTGCTGAAGCCAGCCATCGTAGGCGCCGCTTCACACCCTGGGCTGAAACAAGAGGGGCCCCTGAGCGTTGCTTTGAATGGTTTCTTATAAGCCTCCCAGAAATACGGGGAAAGCCGTTTACTTGAACATTATCAAATCAAGACGATGGCGCCTGCCAAGCACAAGATACTTGGGCTCTGGCTCGATTTGCATTTTCCAGCCATGCTTGACCCTGTTTTAGATCTCATTCAGGAAACAGTATCCCTGTCCCTTTAAGTCAGCTGCAGAGGCCCTTTTTGGGATGAGTTATTTTATACCAGTCTTCAGGTGACCTTTAGTGGTTTAGATCAGTGGTTTAGGGAGTTCCTGGTTCGTGCAGTGCGCTCATTCATGAAGCCAAGGATCTGATAAATGTCCGCTGCCTTTGTCCCGCTTGACACTCTGGGCTGAAACAAAATTATATGCCTCCCACTTCGTGGCATGTGAAGGGAAACAAGGGGAAAGCAGTTTGCTTGAACATTCGCAAATCAAGACGATGGCGCCAAACAAGCACAAGATATTTGGGCTCTGGCTCCATTCGAATTGTCCAGCCATGCTTGACCCTGTTTTAGATCCCACTTAAGAAATAGTATCCCTGTCCCCCTAAGTCAGCTGCAGCCAGCTCCTTTTGGGATGAGTCATTTTGTACCAGTCTTCAGGTGACCTTTGGTGGACCAAACCAGTGGCTTAGGGAATTCCTGGTTCGTCGTGTGAGCTTGGGGAAGGCGTCCAGAAGCCAAGGGTCTGAGAACTTCTTTGTCGCAGTATGTCGCAGTTCCGTCAGGTCTCGCCTTGTGGTGGCATCTTTGTCTGCTGAAGCCCGCCATCGTAGGCGCCGCTTCACACCCTGGGCTGAAACAAGAGGGTCCCTTGAGCAGTGCTTGGAACGGTTTCTTATAAGCCTCCCATTGCGCGGCATGTGGAAAGAAATACGGGGAAAGTTGTTTACTTGAACATTAGCAAATCAAGACGATGGCGCCCGCCAAGCACAAGATATTTGGCCTCTGGCTCGATTTGCATTTTCCAGCCATGCTTGACCCTGCTTTAGATCCCACTTAAGAAACAGTATCCTTGTCCCCCTAAGTCAGCTGCAGCCAGGTCTTTTTGGGATGAGTTATTTTGTGCCAGTTTTCAGGTGACCTTTAGTGGTTTGGATCAGTAGTTTAGGGAGTTTCTGGTTCATGGGGGAAGGCATCCATGAAGCCAAGGATCAGAGATTTCCGCTGCCTTTGTCCCGCTTGACACTCTGGCCAAAATTATACGCCTCCCATTTCGTGGCATGTGGAGGGAAACAAGGGGAAAGCAATTTGCTTGAACATAACCAAATCAAGACGATGGCGCCTGCCAAACACAAGATATTTGGGCTTTGGCCTCAGGAAACAATACCCCCGTCCC